CCAAGTCAACTGGTCGGTTGACATCCTCAAGGTGACGTTCGTCCACCATATCCTCGCCTGACCCCTCAATAAAGACACAGCTCCATCTAATTTTTCCACTTCTGAACAGTGGAGACCATCTAACATGATTTTCAAATCATTCAACCAAAGATCCGCTGACACTGGACCTTCCTCAGCTTCTCCCTTAAATTCGGGAGCTCCTAAACTTCTCAACTCTTTTGCTACATTAATTCTTTGAGTTAGTAGAGCATAAGGTTGAAGACACGTCAGAATAGCGTCTAACGTTCTGAAGAACGTATCTTGATCTTGCACAGGCACTCCTTGAGATGCCTGTTCTTCACCTTGCCTGGCCAGGGCAGGTGAATTACTGCTTTCAGCATGCCTATCTTCTCCCGCTTCACTTCGGGAGCTATTATGTCCGGACATCTAATAAGAATAACCACATTGTTCTATTAGCAAAACAGCATACTCATACTATACCAGATCAGAAGTTCTCACTATTTGTTGGCATGTATTCCATTTAAAGACTCTATAGACTCTGGTTTATGCCTAGAATCGGCTAAACCATAGCTCTGATACCATTAAATGTAACACCCCAACCCATACCCGACCCGGATATGAGTTAGAGATACTACATTGACTTTAAAACACAACTCTTAACAAGTAATAGTAAAATATTTGTACTTATATTAAGAAAATACAATAATATACATACTGTAATATAAGTTTACCAAAATATTCAGAGCATACACAACTTAACTCTTTAATTACATGCCAACTGCCATTTACATAACAAAATGACCTACTGATTAAGTTGCTTCTGATCTGATGGTTGCAGGAGTAATACTGTCAAGCTGCTTCACCTGTCTCGTCTATTTCCTCGGATCCTACGTGTGAAACACTCACACGCTAAGTCATCGACTTAGTGAGGCAATAATAATAAGGCAATTGTAATGAAAATGTCATGATCATATGAGATGAAATGCAAACATGTACTTAATTAATGTAGTATACATCATCAATACCCATACCTGTAAGAGTATGACTGTAACATTTATGAATCTGTATTAATAAGTTTATTGGCCCATGATAGCATATTGAGAACCTAAGGTATTTGAGTAATGTGAGGTTGTGCACTATGCTGTCACCACAGCTCGTATAAATGCACCGAAGTGCCCCGTAGAATTGCACCGAAGTGCCCCGTAGAATTGCACCGTAGTGCCATATAATGATGTCCATAAGGACCACATAGAATTCCTTAAGAATCATATACATATACTATGGATCAAGTATGTGTCTTTCAAGACTTCACACAGGTTCCAAAGGATATACATATGTCCTAAAGAACCGAGTATACCCTCTACCCTTGGCATGCCAACTATACCTATAGTTCTCATCTACATAACATGGGCTTTTACATTTCAAGTAGTCTATATCGCGTAGACATGTAAATTCTTACCTTTTCACATAGCTCATAACTTTTCCCACATAGTCATGTCATATAATGCATTTTATATGAATTCATGTCATGTCTCATAATATCGACTATGCTCATGTACCAAGATATAAAATCTAGACTTATCACAAGTCTAGAATGGAGTATATTTCTATAATCATGCTATGCATATGCACTCACCTATACTTCTTTGCCTTTTCCTCGATCGATCCTACTGGTAGATTGTTCCCGAACTTGTGTAGGCTCGGTATCTACATAAACATAATTTTCAAGATGATCATCAGATGTCTATGTCTTGCAATTAAGCTTTAATAGCTTATTAATTTAAGAAATTAATAGCTTAGTCTTTCTTTCTTTTCTTCTCTTTTTTTTTTCTCATAGGGGAATCGATTCCCCCCTGGGGTATCGGTTCCCCTCTAGCATTCTGGAATTTCATATCCATTGAGGGGGTATCGGTTCCCCCCTGGGGGTTCCCCTCTAGTATTCTGGAAATTCATATTCGTTGAGGGGGTATCGGTTCCCCTTGAATGGGTACCGATTCCCCTAACCCAAAAATCCTATTTTGAGCTTGGAAATCATCCCATTTCAGCTCAAACATACATATTTCACTCTCTTTACTACTCTTAGCTTTCATACACTTACTTTAACTAATTATTATCCATTAAATACCTCTAAAACCTAGAAATCTAATTCTCCATGTAGAATTTAAGAATCCAACCCAAATTCCAATATGTTCTAATTTGAATTCTAACACCTCATACTTCTTAGTTAGCTTCTTGACAAGTCAAAAATCTTATTCAAACTTCAAAAACTCATTCCTATCAAAATTTCATCTAAATATTCATTTTCCAAATCTATCTCTAAAACACTTATCTTGTTGTTTTAATGTCATATAAGCTTTCCTTTAGCTTATATAACATCCAAACTTTCATTTCCAATCTTAAAAATCAAAGAAACTACCAAGGTTCAGATTCTTACCTTTACTTGCAAGCTCCACGTTGAGAGAAGGAAGAGAAGAAAATAAGGAAAAAGGAAGAAGAAATGGGAGGGTTCTGGAAACCTAATGTCACACGTGGGTTCTCATATAACCCCATAACATTTTATTTTAATTAAAATTTCCTTACAAATGACCATTTGGTCCTTACCTCCATCTCATATTTACTAACCATACTTATTAAACTATATAATTATTCTACTTTAATCACCAAATGTTGAAACTTTGCAAATTAATCACTTACCCGACATGGAGGATGTTACAGTAATACCATCCACCCGAATACTCTATATGTAGTCCTCTAGAACTACATTCATAATGACTTACCCTAAACACACAGTAAAAGAGCCACCCTGAGGGAGTACCTTGGGGCCTATGGGCATACGCAAGAGTCTTCGTAGGTTCGTAAGGATTTACCAGCTTGATAAGAGCTAAACCACCATACTCTAGACTCTTACCCATATAGTATCTAGTAGAATTCAGATTGAGCAATAACTTTAATATCAAAATCATGATCCAATAAAATGATGTAAAAATGACAATGTAGTTATTTAAATCACATAAATGGCCTCCACCGTACACCATATGCAGTTCCCCATAACTGCATCCATAAGGACTTACCAAGGGCCAATGGACCTAGGAGCCAACCTAAGGGAATACCTTGGGACCTGAGAGCCTACCCATGGTCACCTTAGGTCCGTATGGAATTGCCAGCTTGATCAAAGCTAAACCTTCATACTCCAGCCTACCCAAATAGTGTCCCAATAAAACGGTTCAAGTAGTAATCAGTAGTTTCATGATCCATACTTCAGGCGTATTTCATTTTTCCAGTAAAACAAGTAACCAATAAATCATTATATCAATCAGTAAAAACAATCGTAAATCAACCAGATATCCATTTATAATTTCAATACAAATAAAACGGTCAGGCAACATATAGGGAACACACCAGAAGATTCAGTTATTTTTAGGATGCAATTTACTGTTATCAGGAAGGAAAACATATAACTTCTGTAGATTTGATGAAATTCAGAATCGATGTCCCTATAAAAATGGTTTGTTCATTAGTAGATCTAATCAACATTCAGAAGTTGATGTTACAAAAAATCATTTAAGATTCGAGTGTATTAAAAATATACTCAAGAACCTTTACATCAGAATTATTGAAGATCTAGATATAACATGAGTATTTCCATTTTTCAACCAAAAAGAAATATTTTAGATATTTTAATTTCTGATGGGTTCTTAGTAACTTAATCCAATAAGGGTAAAACAATAGTTTGCATTATTCTGAATTTATATTGAATTATCATGATTTCGAGTCAAATCATACTAACCGATCTCCACCTTGAAAAACTTGTCAATAATCGGGACAAATATACTTGACGAATAATCACTTCTTAATATTGATTACACTAGTTGAACTTGTCACTTTCAAAATCACCACTTAACGAAATAAAAGGAGACGATAAGGTATTCGATGGTATTATATATTTATGTGATGTATTAGTATCAAGAATACTCATCATACTTGAGTTATCCTCCATAACCTTAAGGGAGGATACAACATTTAAGTTTATTGGTGTTCCTAGAATTTATCAAATGCACTCACTTATTCCAAGTCATTAGGATATTTAGGTCACTTCAACAGTCGAGGTTACTTCGGTCATCTTTGAGTTTAAGGTATTCTAATATTTTGGGGGTTCAAGGGTATTTTAGTCATTTAAATATAAGAGGTTATTTTAGTTATTTCGCAGCTTGATGACATTTAGATAATTCTTTTCAATCCAAATATATGCATTTTTTCTGGTAATTCGGTTTAGTATGTCCTTTCTGGATTATTTTTCACTTTCAAGATCAATCTTGGTCTTTTTACAATACAAGGGTATTTTTGTAATTTTACTCCGTAGAGCTATATTTGTAATTTCTTAACCAAGTATTCCCGACATTTAACCCTTAAATAAATTAATAAGAATGTTGGATCTTGAGGCCAATTTATTTACTAACTAATCCTTAAACTTAGAATTATTTTCGATCAGTCTACCAATTTCTTTTGTGAGTCATCTAAGTCTTATATGATGTTCTACCTTTATTCCATAATTAGTTTGAGTTCATTGATAATTAAATACACCTAATTGACCAATCATTTACATTCATGCATTTACCAATTATCAATGAGTTTCGAAAAGCATACAAAAGGTAGTAGAGTACTACCTCGATTTACGAACCACATCAGTTAACCAATTAAATTCCATTTGATCACCCTCGAACTTTAATACCACGTTCCATAATGTCTCGAATACATAGCAAAATCAATTACATTAGAAACAAAACTTAAACATGAAAATTCATATTGAATCGAGAGATAAAATGCTAAAAACATCGTATCGAGTTTGAATTTGACAAAACGGACTTCAAATTTATACTCAAGACGTCGAAAAATATAAAATATGATTTTTTATTAAAAAAATGATTTTTTGTCAAAATCAATGATCAATTATGATCAAAGTTAACGATCATGTCAATGGTGAAGTCATCAATCAGTCATAGTTAACAAGTTGACTTTGTCCAAGTTGATTCAGTGAGTTGACTCAATTGAACCCAGTTCAGTCTGACTAGACCGATTCCAAAAGGCTCCTGGATCGGCGAACGAATCTCACGCGCAGTGATGGCGTGTGTGATAGTGACGGGGTCAATTTGGACGTTCAAACGCTCTCCGATCAACTATACACTTGAATTTAGTCAAAATCAATCCAAAGTCACAGTAAAATACGCCAAAGTTATCAGAAATCGATCGGGAACTTATCCCGACGGTGAATGGCAGAAAATCGACGACAATGCGAAGACCCATTGGTTGGGTTTCGAGCGCACGGCAACGGCGAATCCAATTATGGTGGCGATGAGGCGATTGGTTGGTTAGATCAACGACAATCGAGTGGAAATCGAGCGGCATGATTTGGGGTTTTTTGACGGGCTTCAATAGCTTTTATACGACGATCAGTGACACTTATCGAAGCGGGGTTAGAGGGGTTTTGGTTGGAGCAAGGTGGCGGTCACGGTGGTAGTGGCGACACGCTCCAAAGTTGATCGGACTATGGTGGATTTTGGAGGGCCGACGGGGGCAAGGGTTTAGGTTGTGAAATTTGGGGTTTCAAATTGGAGATTTCGGGGATTTAAAACCCGAGTCTTAAGCATTAAGATATATATTTAATTAAGAATATTAAGCCTAGACGGTAGAGGCGTTGGCAGTCTTTCTTGGGAGACACGAGTTCGACAACCTACAGCACCAACTTCATTTATTTATTTGTTTTCTCTGTCGGCATAAAATGGGTAGAGATAGGTCCTTGAATTTTCTGCATATTCCTAAAAAGTCTTGCAAGTTATGAAAACTTACAATTTGGTCCCTAATTTCATTAAATTAATTCTTTTATTTTTTATTTCAAAATGTGGTTGTGACACTTTGTCTCCGATTTACATCCGAATAGGATTAGATCTATTCTCTGGATTACTTGAATTTAGATCTGCTTTCTCAGATCTGTTTCTGTTACTTCGCTTTGAAATGTCGCTTCTTGAAATTCTTTGCCTATGATGGTTTATGTAGGATCTAGCGCTTGCACGAACACTTTGAACAGAATTAGATTGTAATTTGCTCAAATCTTGAAATTTGGTGTATGGGAATCTTGTTGTTCAATTAGAATTATACGATTTGGCTCAGAGCGTAAAGTTTTAGTACAAAATTCTCCTAGTTCTGAATCAACAACGTTATTATTAGTATATATTGTATAGGATAGAATAATTCATAGGGGAGCTTTGTGAACTTTGGGCGATTTAGCCATCTCTCTAGAATTATTCCCTTCTGCCTTTATTTCCTTACAGTTATTTGTAATTCCGATCAGAAAATTGTATGGGCTTTACCTTGTAAATCATGTAATATAGCGCATATTGCACGGTTTAGGCAGACATTCTTCACCGATGCTCTTATCAATAAGTGTATAATACTAATTGTTGAATGTCTGTTATATAGTATTAAAATTTGAAACTTGTCAAATTTGGTTGTTGTTAACAGAGATGGCAACCCGAACAGCTCCACCAAGAGGAAGTGCGGCGGTGGCAGCCAGCCTGCGCAGGAGGAGAACATCAAGCCGTGTGGGTGCCTGAGGCGGGACTGTGGGGACTATGCTTCAGTTTTACACAGATGATGCTCCCGGACTCGAGATCTCCCCAAATTCGGTGCTTGTCATGATCTATGCTGCACGGATAAGGGGACGGATACGGGACAGGAAATGGCAATTTTTAAAATTATATGGTACGGGGACGGTAAGGATACGACATATAAAATAATTTTAAAATTATAAATAGATGTAAAAAATTATAAATAAAATCAAATATCAAGACTCAAACAATAATATTAATTTTAAAATAATAAAATCCATAAATAAATCACAATATTAAAATATCAAATCTCAAAATTTAAATTAAGATAAAAAATAGGATCTTTAGTTGTGATATTATCAAAATCATGTAGTGAAATTCTCAATATCAAGATAAACTTCTGATATTGTATTCCTGCAAGCAACAAAAAGACATTACAAGTTATTTTAACCTTTTTCAGCTCTGCCTACACATGGCAATGGAATTTGAAATTGAGTTTCTTACATTTCTCTAAATACCCATTAACAATATTGAGATTCCTATTACCCTGGGGATCAAAGAGAGCTGCTTTGAAGAAGTCAAAGCACTTAAATACCTGTTCAGACTAAGCAAGATCTTACCTTTGCAGAACATAGTCTTGAAATGGATGAGTTCGATTCAAAGTGCTCCGTCACAGTCTTGAAGTGCTCGGGTAGCTTCGACCTTGCCTCGGCTCGATTCGAGAAGGCGCTACAGAGAGATTTATCGAGCTTGGTGAGATGATCTGGATCTGGGTTGGCACCCGATCCAATCCGCTACTTCTTCGTTTCATTCTCTTCATCCTCCCCTGTTTCCACTAGTTCTCCTTCTTCTTTTCGCATCTTCTAAACTTGTTTTTCTTTTCGCTTTCGATGCATCTCAACAGCCAATTTACTTTCCTCAACAATATGGAAATACTCCAACTCGTATGTCGATGTTCCGCTTGTCGCAGCAAAATCAACAGCAACAAGGGTTTGTTTATCGACCATTTTATGCTGCAGTTGCACGGGGACGACAGATGAAGGCCGTCCCCGAAACATCCCTAGCAAGCACCGAAACGTCCCTCGTATTGTTCGGCCGTACCCTGTCAGCGTGGCACATCTCCGGTACGTTTCTCAACCGTCCCCGTGCCAGGGACGTTTCAGGTACTTGAAACGGTCTTCCTTTACCGTCCCCGTGCAACATAGGTCATGAGCATTGGTTTCATAGCTTTTGTTGCGATTCCCCATGTTATGGGCAAGTTGTATTTTGTCGCTAAGGATTAGGAAGCCTTTTAAAGTTTGTATCAACGTTAGCAAACAGTTTTCACAGTTGTGCTTTGCAGTTTTCCTTGTTACTGGATTTGATTTACTTTTCTTAATTACGGATACCTCTTATTTCAAATTAAACTGTGATGGATCTTCGATTGAAAATCCGGAGTATGCTGGTACAGGCAGTATCATTCAAGACTCTAATGGTGATTACTGTGAGGGTTCCGATCGCTTTACTGGTAAAGCCAGGTATTGTGGCTGAACTTTGGAACTACCGTTACTGTACACTATCAGAAACCATATCCACAGGTTTCAAGCCCTCACAACACTTTCACATAAAAGCTCCAACACGGCAACACCACTACTCCTTCGCCGTCATCAGCACCGTCCACTTGTGTAATGGTGGTAGTAAAAGTTTACCTATATGCACGTTACCTGTATATTTCCAGTGCGTCAGCTTTATTTTGTTAACTATAAGCTTTTGAATTCTGTGTGAAAACCCTTTTTCAGAAGGAGAGAGAATATTCGCATACGCGGCGGTGCATCACGTGGAAAGTCACTCTCGTACCGGTATCACACTTAAACATCACCCATTCTCTCTGCTAGCTTTCAACCATCGTTAAAGTACGCAACCAATTGGTAGTTGAAATTTTGAAAACTTTACTTCGTCATCCCAAGCAAATATTTAATGTTTTTTCCTTTTTTAAAGGATAAGATATATACTCTAAATTATTTAATAATATATATATGAGATAATAAATGAATACTTTTTAAAAGTTATAAATGGGTAATTCAAACAAATTATTATTATATATTGGTCATTTTATTATTAAAAATGAAAGAAACATATTATTTGACTGATATAATATTATTTTTAATATTTAAAATTATACATTATATTTTGAAATAATTTAATTTTTAATTATTTATATTTATAATTTTCATCAATTTATCTTTTTTTATATACTACCGAATCAAGTGAGTCTATCAAATTAAAATTATTGTTTGACAAGTATATTCATTCATCAAACAACAATAAATTAATGTTAAATTTTAGTATATAGAAAAATGACATGAAAGTAATATATTATTTCTAAGTAATAAAGATTAAAAAGTTTAAATATGAACGATTAAATTTATTAAATAATTTTAAATTCTAATTAATTTGATGAATTATATAAATTTTAAAAGTTAAATATATTAAGTTACATTATATATTTGTAACAATGTTTTAATAAAGTGATGTATATATATATATTAACCTTTTCTTTATAATCATATAAAAATGGAAAATAAATAAAATAGGTGATAAAAGAGAAACGAAGAAATGACACGTTTGATGATGATGATGAACATTGCCAAAAGGGTCCAAAATAGTGCACTCTCATTGAACGGAATTACAGTAACAACACTAAGATTTTAGCACGTCAGCACACCTCAAAGTCATGCTGTTGGCGGCGTTGATGTTGCTGGTGGCGGTGGTGACGGTGTTCATGCTCCTGCTGCTGTCCCGACAGCTCCTTCTGCCTGCGCAGCTCCAACACCTTCCGGTGCGAGTTCGAGTGCTTTGTCAGCACGAATGTCGGGCTTGCCGCAGGTCGATACTCGGGCACGAGACGACCCGACTTATACCGAACCCCACAAGCGTTGCACAACGTCTTTGGCCCTAATGGTCCCGTCCTCCACTGCGGTGTCTTCTCCGACGCACAATGTGTACATCGCCGAACCCCTGTTTCCGCCGCAGCTGGCGATGCTTGGCGCTGGACTTCCCTTTTCGTCTTAGAGGTTGTTGGTGGCGCTCTGGAACGCTTGTTCCAAGCTTTGCTTGAAAACGACGAGTGGTCATTTCTAGGGTTAATGATTCCGGCGAGCGAGTTCGACGGGAAGTCGCTGAAAGAATCATCTACGAACTGCGACAACCACTCCAGCTCAGCCACATCATCACTCTGCAAAACAAGAAGTAATTAAGCTCAACCAAGCAAATAAAAAACTAAAAAGAAGAAAGTTATGGTGAGTGTAAGGTTAAGTTATTACGGGAAGGCAAAGGTCGTGGGTGAAGTCCTTGTCGGAGAAAGAGGGATGAAAGGCGGCGGAGGAAGAGGAGGCGTAGCTGAAAGTGGTTTCAGAAGGAGGGAAAGTGTCGTTGTTGGTGGAAGTAGAAGCAGATGAAAAAAGCTCTTCGTTGGACAAATCCAAAAGATCATCAATATGAAACACTTCCGGAGTTGAAAGCCCGTACATGTCCATCTTCCCTCTCCCTCTCTCTCTTTCTCTCTATTTCTTCACCACAAACCAAACTGATATTTCTTTAACCCACTTTCCCTTCAAAAGGAAAGAGGCAGAGAAAAGAAAGAGAGGCCAAGATCAGGCGCGAGGAGACGAATGATATATGGATGGCAAGAGGGGACACAGGAACGTGCAAGGAGCGAGCACTGCCTTTTTTATGGCATAATACTGGAAAAAACCAAAACTTTTACATTTTTTTTTTAATTTAAACCATAACGTATTAATTATTTTTATGTAAATAGAAACCCGTTATTTTTTAAATGAAATATCTAAAATTATAATAAAACATAATTAGGACATGTTCTTATAACAACTGACACAATAAATTAGTTACTTTGTATCGTACAAAGACCATTCAAAAAAGTTTAAAACTCATTCAAGAAACTGTAACAAAAATAAATATGAATATATCTAATTGCATAAGCAATTAAGCTACATCATGGATCAAATTATTAAAAGACCACCAACAATCATAAATCAAAGTTGAGTGTAGTAAGAAAACTATCTTTAAACAAAAACCATGTATAGAAATCAAATACAAAAGTCCAAAGTATGAAATATCAACAAGACAACAAATAAAAATCAACTTTATCAATTGATACGACGTCAAATCCAACTATGAGAAAACTAAACATAAAAACGATCAATAAAAATGACCGAAAACGTGATAAAAGATAAAAAAAAAACCGTGTCATAAAAGCATAAAAATTAAAAAAATTACAATATAAAAAATAAAGAAAATGCAAAAAATACATATGATTGATAATCAATACAAAATTAGTGTGTCATCATCTATCAAACAAACAAGAAAAGAAAGGAGCAAAGAGAAAACTATTAGAAAAAACTTTTTAAGGTTTTTTCATTTTTCCAATTTCTATTATTAAAAATTTCATATATTGTATTAAAATTTTAAATAAATTACCTATTTACAGTGAGAAGAAGAAAAAAGTATTATATGCATGGATGTAATTGTTTGTAAAGAGATACGCCATGATTTATATTAAAATATAGATTTATAAAATTTTACTAAAAATAAAAAACAAATTATTAATAAAATATTAAAATTAAAATTTTTAGGAATCACCTCTCCTTTAACTCTTTTAATCCATCCCTCTCTATTGGTAATCGCTATGGCCTATGGGCTCTTTTTGGCGTGTATATATATATATACAATTAGATTTTATTATACCCTTAGGGTGCGTTTGGTTCACGGAATATAAGATTACCAGTGGGAATGTAAGATTACCAGGGAATAGGATTACTGGGAATATTGTATTTTGTGTTTGGTTAGCTTAGCAGGAATGTAAGATTACTGTGTTTGGTTAAAGGAATAAAAGATTATTGGAATGTGTATTTGACCAAATTGTCCTTATTATATATTTTTATAATATTATAAGTTAGAAAATATTTATATATTTTCTTTAAAAATTTAAATTCATAATATTTATATATATATTTTTACAAAATTAAAAATATAAAAAGGTTTAATGAAAGGGTAAAATTTTATTTTAACCCCTGAACTTCATATAAAATTTTAATTATATTCTTTTTTTGTAAATCTATAATAATTTAAGGATAAATTTGTAATTTAATATTCGTAGAATTTTTATTATTCAATGACAGAAGAATGATGTTTTTGAAAAAAATAAAAATTTAAGGACATTTTAGTCCAAAACACCGGTAATCCAATAATACCTAAGGAAAGGGAGGTAATGACATTCCCGGTAATATACCCCAAAAAATCCACTATTGGTAATCTAACATTACCGGGAATAGGATTCCCGGGCTAACCAAACGTGGGAATGTGGATTCCATTCCCATGGGAATCCAACATTCCCCCATCCAAACACCCCCTTAGTTTCCATCGCCATGGGACCTAGAGGGATGACATAGAGTATATTAATATATACTTTTTATATAAACCATAATATATAGTCATTTAAAGAATATAGCATATGAATATATTAAATAATTTAGAACACTAATTTTTGTAAGTCTAAGACAGTAAAAGCCCAGCGAAGTAGTGTCGGTAGTGAAAAAAAAAACAATGAAGACAAAATGTTAAGATATCCGTTTTACCTTTCTGATTTTAGGTTATACTATTTTATACCTACTGGCTCAGGGAACATTTACTTCATTGTCTATATCACATTGGCCTGTCAACATTGTTCTGCCATTTACTCCTATTTTTGCTGCTAATTATTCAAGGTAAAATAATTTTTATAAATTAACAAACCCATTGAAAATTACTTACTACTATTTATAATTACTACGCTTTATTTCACCTTGAAATTTACAATTACTCACAGTATTTTATGACTTATTTTCTATACACCATTAAATAAATTATGTAAGAAGAAAGTTGAATATAAATATTTAATATTTAAAGGAAATGTATGGAGGTTCATGAAGCAGTAGCATATGTTAAGGGGTGACAAATGAGGTAGTAATATTATTATATGAGTTGCTTCGTGTTTGAGTAGCAGCTGAGCAAAGAGAGAAACGTGGCTTGGAAGAAGCTGGAAGCAGGACCACATTAACTTAGTATTATTATCCCTGACGCCATCCTGCTCAGTGTTATTTAACCTTACCATAACCGACAACTACTCACAACTGGCACTCTCTCATCTCTTTTTCTCTTTCTCTTTCTCCTCCTTCTCCTTCTCCTTCTCCTTCTCCTTCTCCTTCTCCTTCTCTTTCATTCTCTTTGTCTTTTACAAGGAGAAGAAATGCATGCAATTATGGTAGGAGACGAGTTGGGTGCTGCTCTGCTGCACTCCCTACTATCTTATTTTCTCCATCGAAATCAAGTACGCTCCCGTACATTGCACCTCTCTTCTCTCTACGTTGTTTTACGATAAAATACACCCCAAGTCACTCACTTTTTTAGTTTAGTTATCAATTGGTCACTTTTTTCTTATAAAAGTTGCACTCCATTGAATATTATTACCAACAAATCACTTTATAGTTATAATTGAGAAAACGTCTATTTTTCTTGATGTAATAACTGTTTTATTCCTCAAAACTTATAAATTACATCAAATGGATCCTAATTTAAAAAAAATCAATAAATTCAACCTTTTATAATCAATTTAATCCTTTTTAGAATAATGAGTCCATCAAATCAAAATAGTAGTTGGATAATTACATTTTATCATAAAAGCAACAACAAACTACAATTAAACTGTTATTATATCAGAAAAGTAATACAACTAAATGAATTATTTAGAATAATATTTTAATTAATTGACTACATTTGTAACCAAACTAATTATTGAGTGACCTACTATGTATTTTATCCATTTATTAAAGTAAAAACTTAAAGACTGAATTTTTCTTTTTTACTATCACTAGACAAAGTTGACTTCCATGATAAAAACGGGGTCTTGGCAGACTGGACTGTCTCTGTCTAGTAAATTATAAGGAGGACAGCCCATTTCGCTGTTAGTTTTCTTGGGGTACATAGATTAATCAGGGTTTTATTTTTAACATAGTCTTTTGGATCATTTACCATCTTGCACGTGGCATGTTCTTGACGTGCTTATTTACACAGAAAAATGGGAATTATTGCTTATTTTAATATCATGTGCGTATGGGGAAAGTAATTCAGATATATCAGAGAAATTATAGTATATATTATGGATCAGCTGCCGGGTAATGGCAGTGGCTAAGGTTTCGGCATTGGTGGAAGAGATATGGAAAGGGAATCACGTGACATGATAAAGGGCGGTGATCCCTAAACAACAGCATGCCACGTGATTAGCCATGTGCCTATAAACATGACCCACTATAATAATATTTTCATCCAATGTAATCTGACCATACACCATGATCATCGAACTTATACTAGTATTAAATTATATCCAAGCCTCGTATTCTTATAATTTTATAGTTCTTTAATTACATTCAAAATAATATGCATGGAATTATTTATTGATTTTAGTGATTAAAAAAGACGTTTTTCTTAAAGTTTTTAAATTCGAACAGTTTCATCTATAAGATGTATGTGCGTTGTCAATAACTAAAAAGAATATGAACACAATAAATTATGAACAAATTTCGATTCGATTAAATATTTTCAAAATATGTTCAGTTTAATTAATAGTATTTCGATTCAATCAATGACCGAAATAACCGTTTGAATACTCTTACTCATCAAAAGAAGAAAATTGTAATTATTGGTGCATTGGGTGTTTTAAGTCATTGCAGCAGCAGTGCAACTTCCTTAGGATTTTGGGTGCGTGAGTGATTTAATTGAAAATAAAAGAACCTTTAATTCAAGCCTATGATTGATATATATTTGATTGCAATTAATTGGTCGAGTTAATTACATTATATGTCTCTAAACAATGATCTTCATTTTAAATTAGGTCGTAAATATTAGAAATATATTAAATTCATCCTTAAACTATTCTTCAAACTTTTGAGCATGCCAAATTCATCCTCAAATTATAACACTTATTCTATGTTAATCCCCAAACTATTAAATATTCTAATTTCAACTTTGAAGTTTTGAATGATTTAGGGGTATATTACTGAAATGTTCAAAAGTTTGGGGATTAATTTAGAATAAGGTTGATAATTTGAGGATGAAATTAAAATGTTCAAAAGTTTGAGAATCAATTCAGAATGGAAGTCATAATTTAGGGATGAAATTAAAATGTTCAAAAGTTTAGGAATTAATTTAAAATAAGCCATAATTTGAGGATGTATATTTCAATTAACTCTAATTAGTCTGATTGAACACAATGGGTTCTTCATTTGGGCCTTGTTCTGCCTAATACAAACAAAGAAACAACTCAATGGTGCTGTTTGACCCAACTTTGTTCAGTGTGCGTTTACAAGATATGTTTATGGTTGATTTAGCCCAACAAAAATAACGAGTTTTTTATTTAGTCCATTAGGGAAAGTAAAAAATTATTTTGGGATATACGCCATTTTCTACAGTGTTATTGGAACTCGTCACGCCGAGGTGATGAGTTTCAATAAAAAAAATTTATTCGAACTCGTCATGGCAAGGTGATGAGTTCGAATAAAATATAATTTTTATTAAAATCTATCATATCAAGGTAAAAAAAATTAGAATAAAAAAATATTTTTTTATTTGAACTCATCACCTCGGCGTGAAGAGTTCCATGTCACTGTAGAAAAAACCATAGAGCCCAAAATAAATTTTTACTTACCCTAATGGGCTAAATAAAAAAACTCATATACCTTAGTGGGCCAATTTTGCCCATGTTTATTCTTTACCTAGAGTATTAATATTAATTGTTTCCCTTCACCTCTTTTTCCTTTTTCTTTTTTAATTATCAATGATTAAAAAGTAGTGTTTGTTTAAAGATTTTAAAATCTTTGACAATGAACGCTCGTATTCCTGTATATGCAATGCTCGAATTCGGGACCTCAAGAGATAACAACAAATCATTTAATCATTAAGGTCACTTAATTCGTGCTCCTTTGACCTCTTTTGATTAGTGTGAGATTATCCAGATGAATCTTTAGCTAAAGTATTAATATTACTCGACGCATTTGAAAAGTTATTGTGTAATTGAATTTAGACGTAATTGAATATAATTATACAATTAGATTGTGTAATTGAATATAATTATCGCAATTTGTGATTATTGCTGAGTTGAGTGTAATTGGCGGACCCCAATTACATTCTTTTATATTAATTTATTTATGATTACATGTAAATGTAATTACTAACATAACAATATATTTTAATACAATTACACTATGATATCTTACCTTAGTTATTTCTCTTCTTTCCCTTTCACAAGTCATGGAAGATGACTTGATTTGCCACGTCAGTGTCTTAGAAATTCAGCAAACTATGTAAATAGAAAAAGAGGGGGGGGGGAAAGGATGGCAATATGTTTAGGTTGACCTAAAAGAGAAAACGGATGATGTTACACATGATGGATTCTTTTCAATTAATTGTAATAATTCGCTTTTACAACATGTTCAAAAGATGTACATAAAAAACAGGTTATCCGGTCCTCTAGTAAATCACAAGGATGCAAACATCAATATACGAGATGTTAAGATTTATATTTATATATATTTAAATTAAATTAAATCGAATTTAAATTCGAAGATGTATAGAAAACACTAAAAGGGTCTGGATTAACCCTAGCTCCTACTATGGAATACGAATCACATGATCAAAAGCCAACCACCACCTAAATTTGAAAATGGAGAAAGAAAGGGGATTATACGCTGAAGAAAGCAGCTGCCAAGAACATGGACGTGGCCCAAAAAGATGGTTCAAACCTCAAACCAATGGCTTGATTAGCCGAAGTGTCAGATTCCATCAAAGAACCAAATGTAAAATTAGGGTTTGATCCATAGAGAGATTGAACTCCTTGTATATCATCCATGGACAAATCAACTTTCTTTTCTCTAGGTTTCAAGCTTGGATACATAACAGCACTTTTCACCGGACTATGAGCTAAACCTAGCAAATGACCGATCTCATGAAGCGCCACCGATTCCAAATCAACGGCTACGTCCGATTGCTCCACTCCGAAGTCAACCGCCCACGTCTCCGCCGCATCGAGATGAAGCTTCCCGCTCTCAGGTGAAAACGAGTGTGCGAGGATCCCTAACACCCCATCAAACGGCTCTCCATCACCGTGATCACCTACGTAGAACCCTATTTTTATATCGGCAGAACCATAATCATCTGCTTCCACGAAGCTGACTGGAATAACCGATGCCCATCTCGAGAAAGCTCGTTTAAAGGTTTTTCTTATATCTGAGGAACTCAAGTAATGGATCAAATTGTCGGGGGAGAATCCATACGTTAGTGTCATAGGAATGCTTCGTGCCCATCGAGGTTTCCCGGGAAAATACACGTACTTCTTCGTTGCATGATAATGCTTGATAGCAGGTTCCAAGTGAGCATCGAAGATAACATCTGATATATTGTAATCTGGTGATGTTAAATAACCAAAGTATTTGAATTTGTAGTAGTTACTGACAGTTGAAACAGTTAGTTTCTTAAACGGGAACTCCGACACAGGTCTTGCCGCCGTAAACGGCCGCAAGTTATGAAGAAAGAAGATGAAGAGAAGGGGTAGAGGGTGAGTGGATGGTAGAAGCATGATAGTGGAAAGGGTTGGATATGTTTTGGGGGACGTTGGAATTGCGTTGTTATAAAGAAATAATGAAATTTGTAATTATGCAGTGGTTAATGAATAATAAGAAAACATGATGGGCGGATGATGATGTCCTTTGTGTTTAGTTTGGGATAATAATGGGGTTGATTGATTCATGATTACACTTAATACGTGCATTGTTGAAGTGAAATAATAGCAACTAAAACGTCAAAGTCTAATGAATTAGAATCTATTCTTGGTTTTTACTCAATTGCTTAAACTTTAATAACATTAACCTGTTTTGAAGGTACGACCAAACTTTTGATCGACTCTTGGATGGTAATGGTATATACCTATATGTTCCTAAAGGACATTAAGAGGTTAAAGGTGGACCCAAAACAAGAAAAAGAAAGTTGGATTTAAGGACAAAAGAGGGAGGGGGACATGTCATGTCAGAGACTAACAAACTGCTGTTGTAGTTTTGTTTTCTCTTCAAGGTAGAGGCAAAATGTCTACAGAACCATATATTTTTGCAAGTCGAGTGTAAGTGGTCGTTAAGATCGATCATTGTTGCTGCTTGTTATGAGTTTAGACGTGCAGACGACTCCATCATGTTGTCAACTTGACAATCTCATGAAATATACTTCTCTGCTGCCTGTGTGTGTTTGGAGGTGTAAAACACTCAATTTCCGACAAAACTTTCAAGATAATGTTCTGGAAAAAATTAATTCACGAGATAAAACACTCCCAAGATTAATTGCTTAAATAAGGTGAAATCCACAGTGTTGGCCGTAGGTCGCCATGTCTTCCCGGCGAGCTACAAGAAATTGCATGTGCCATGCACGTCCCAACACGCTGGGTATCCGAGGTCATCCGAGAGCATCCGAGAGCATCCGAGAGCATCCGAGGACATCCGAGGCCATCCAAACGAGCTATGCGAGGACATCCGAGGGCAACCGAACGAGCTATGCGAGGGAATCCGAGGGAAGCCGAGCGAGGGTAGGTCGCCCGGAGTGTATGGCAACTACAAGGTCGCCCGGAGGGCATGGCGACCTACAAGATCGCCCGGAGGGCATGGCGACCTATGTGTTGGGACGTGCATGTGCCATGCAACACGTTCATTCTCTCTGTTTGAGCAAGGGTAGGTCGCCCGGAGTGCATGGCGACCTACAAGGTCGCCCGGAATGCATGGCGACCTACGGCCAATACTGTGGATTTCACCATATTTGAGCAATTAATCTTGGGAGTGCATTACCTTCGTAAATTAATTTATTTCAGAACATTATCTCGAAAGTTTTGCCCTCCATTTCCTGTTCCAAAAGCAATGGACTTGGACCTACCATTTGAGGCAAGCCAACTGCTTACTGTGTGGTTTGCCGAAAGTGATATTCTGCTTCTTCCACAAAAGGAAACCTCGATTGTTGATTCCGTAGGCTATTTCACCACACATTTATACTTTGGGCCTCCGATACTTATCTTATTCATGAAGAGGGATACAGGCCAGCTGATTCCACCGGCACTGAACTAAAGTAACCCTGTCTTAGACTTAGAAAGTAAGGAGAAAGTGCCGAAATAATTGAGGCATTCCATTTCTTCAACAGAGATGATGTTAGGAGATGGGCTCTTTTATGATTTTCTCAGAGACAAAGCGGATTCACGCTTTTACTTATTTTGAAATTCGAGTTTCTTTTAATAAATTATATATTATTTTAATTAAGTCTATCCGAAAACTTTATTTATGTTTACCCTATACAATATTTTTTGTGTGTGGTTAGAATATATGCATTCCACTTCAGTTTTTTACTCAGTTTGAGATAGATTTTTTTACGTCATTGAGACATCAGAAAGTTATTTTATCATCTTTCCCCCTCCCATATTCCCTCAAAACAAACCAAATTTCCTAATCAAATAACTCCACAATTTATTGCTTACCATAGTTTATCATTGCTTTATGCTTATAGGATTGGTTTAATGTTCGTTCTGCAAGTGAATTATTGAATTCGAATATAATAAATAAAAAACTATAAATAAGATTTTGAGTTTGAATTTTTGAATTGTTGTTTTCTTTATTGAGGTCTCAAGTTCGAGCCTTAGGAATGTCAAGAGTATGAGCGTTGAATGTCAAACAATTGAGAGTTATATTTGATATATATTACCTTTTATTTATCCTATATTAATAAAAAAGAATGAATGATGGTAGAATAAGTTGAGATATTTTTTGATTGATTTAAATTTGACTGGATAAAATAAAAAACAAAATTGAATTTTGACCCATTATCAAGCTCTCAACTAGTCTGTTCCAAAGGAATTGGGACTTTCTTTATTCCTTGGGATCCAACGCTTTGATAAGCAAATAAGAGAATGTTCCTTTTATAGACTATGGACACACACATAATTTTGATGATAAGAGACGATTCCGATGGTCCTTCTCCTAAGCATAACGCACCCAAATATAAAATTATATCAAAACCGGGTTAATTTTACAGTGACCCAATTTAAGATGAACAAATATTGAAAATATGCGCAGCTAAAAATATAATATTTTAGATTGAATATAACATAAAATATTAAGAAAAAAAATAGTATTTTAAATTATAATTAACATAAAATATTATATTTTTAATTACATCTATTTTCATTATTTTTTAACATTAAATTAAACGGCCCTACCTAGTACTTCCCCTCAAAACTGGTCCCCTGCTTTTTGCATTTTCCTCTCTTTTACAAACCCTTAAAAAATTTTGTTGGGGGGAATCACGTTACTCCGTTTGGTTGGTCGTGAATATCATTATCGATAATATTTTATTATCAATAGTAATTTTTTTTTATCTATTATCGGGTATGTCATTATCTCTCTTCACTTAAGTATTATAACATTATCAACTTTTTAGACTAAAATGTCTTTAAATTTCTCTCTCTCAAAAATATCATTTTTCTGTCATTAAATAATAAAAATTCTACAAAGTTTAAATTATAAATTTATTCTTAAACTATTTTAGATTTAAAAAAAATCTATAATTAAAATTTTATATTGGTTAAAATAAAATTTTACCCTTTCATTAAATATTTTTTATATTTTTAATTTTGTAAAAAAATTATATAAATTTTATGAATTTAATTTTTTTTTTAAAAAATGTATAAATATTTTATAACTTGTAATATTATACAAATATATAATAAAGATAATTTGGTTAAATATATATTACAACAATCTTTTATTCCTTTAACCAAACACGATAATATTACATTTATGTTAAATCAACCAAATACAAAATACAATATTTATAATAATTATATTTTTTAATAATTTTATATTTCGTAAACCAAACGCATTTTTTTTAAATCCAGTCTCGGTTATCCAACTCTGTTTAAGTACGGGGGTAGACATGGAATTTTGGAAATTTGGTTCCTCATTTGCTAGTTTGTTGGCGATAACGTGTCACACACCCACTTACTCAAGTACAAAGTGGGTGCTTCTTCCTTTGTTTTATTCCACGTTTTTTCCTTAAAAATATAATATAATATACAAATAACTGCACATTTCTCCGGGAGAAGGCGGAACTTTAAAGATGCGTTTGGTTCACGGAATATAAAATTATCAGTGGGAATAAAAGATTATCAGGAAATTAGATTACTAGAAATATTGTATTTTGTGTTTGGTTGGTTTAGCAGAAATGTAAGATTACCGTGTTTGGTTAAAGGAATAAAAGATTTTTGGAATGTATATTTAACCAAATTGTCCTTATTATATATTTGTATAATATTACAAATTGTAAAATATTTATATATTTTCTTTTAAAAAATAAATTCATAATATTTATATAATTTTTTTACAAAATTAAAAATATAAAAAAGGTTTAATGGAAGGGTAAAATTTTTTTAACTCCTGAATTTTATAAATTTTTAATTATAGATTTTTTTAAATCTAAAATAATTTAAGGATAAATTTGTAATTTAACTTTCGTAGAATTTTTATTATTCAATGACAGAAGAATGATATTTTTGAAAAAAATAAAAATTTAAGGGCATTTTAGTCCAAAATGCCGGTAATATTACAATACTTAAGGGAAGGAATGTAATGACATTCCCGGTAATATACCCCAAAAAATCTACTATTGGTAATAAAATATTACCGGGATGATATTCCCGGCCAACCAAACATGAGAATGTGAGATTCCCATCCCATGAGAATCCCACAATCTTTGAACCAAACACCCCATAAATGATTAAATTTCAAGTTATAAATTAATAATTATTATTATTTAACTTTTCAAATTTAATAAATTTAAGTACAATCCCGGGATCACTTATTTGTATGTATGTGGTTCGGTCTCTGAGTCGCAGGATCACTTATTTGCTGACTGTCGCTTTACTATGGATGTTTGGAATGCTGTTCTAAGTCTTTGTGGTACTTGATGTGCTGTTTATACGTGGGATCAGTGCCTGAACTAGCTGATTGGGAACTTGAAGGGCAAAACTCTTCGAGTACGGATCCTAAAACTTACTTGGACTGATTTTATGTATTATATTTGGGAATAACGCAATTATAGGTATTTTAGAGACATCTCAAACTCAAGTAAAATAATTATAATTAGAATTAAGAAGGTAGTTAAAATAAAATTGTACAGCCTTAGTTTACACAGAGTTAATGATGGTAATAGATTATTGTACACAAATTAGAAACTGATTTTGATTGTGACAGTTCTTTTGTAACAGCTGCGTTTTTTTAGACGAATATAATTTACTTATTAAAAAAAATTTGGTACAATCCTGTTACAAATACTGTAATTATAGGTTAAAATTATATTTTAACGAATTGCCCTTGCAGTTCTCTATTATTGGAAAGAGGAGTTAATGTTTTGCATAAGCAGGACCGTCTTGGCAGTACACGTGGTTGGATACGATTTCAATTTATTAGTGTTTTGGGGGTCCCATAGCTTAGGATACCCAGAGCAGAGCTCGATCCCTTCAGTCTCGAAACTTAGACTCTGTTTATGAGGGATTTGTCTCAGTAATATTATTTCCAA